TGTCAGGAAGTTTGTGCTTCGGAGTGAATTTACGCTTTTGCTGGCTGCGGCATATTAATTGTGCGCTATTGTTTATTAATTATGCGCTATTGAGATGCAATTGAAAATACAATTAAAATATTTCACTGAACTCAATTCACATTCTTCACTTGTGTTCATAGATTGATATTCTTTTTGATATGAAATATCAGTTCTTTGAAACTGATATGAACCAGGCTTCCCGACATGTAGAAGTGATCAGCTTAAGAGTCCCAATGCTATGATTCTGAAAGGAACCGGTTTTTGTTGTAAAGATTATTTATTTATTTATTATTTATTTATTTTTGCATAGAATAACTGGGGTATAGGCCAGAGGTTCAGGGAGTGGAGAGGATTCACCAGAGATAGAGTGGGGAGCACAGTAGGTGGATTTACTGAAATACAGTGGAGAGGGAAGTATTCTGGCAAGACAGGAGAGGTCTGCTGTGCCAAATGTGGATTAGCTCCCTGGCTGGGGATGGAACTCACACCATAGTGATAATGGAGCTGATACTTAACCCTTAGGCCACCCAGGAGAGCCTCTCCAGCATTCTCAAGAAATATGTTTTTAAGGATTTATTTATTTATGCATACAAGAACTGGGGTACAGGCTAGAGGTGTGGAGGGTGAGAGGATTCACCAGAGACAGACTGGGGAACAAAACAGGCAGGTTGACTGGAGTACACTGCCGAGGGGAGCACAGGTGATTTAGGAGAGGTCTGCCATGCCATGTGGGTACCTCCCTGGCTGGGGATGGAACTCATGCTGCAGTGGTTGTGGATAGCTTCATAGTGCTGCATCTTAATTCCTTAGAAAAAGTGATTTTGTACACTTTAAATGGGAAAATAAAGGTGTCATTATAGCCAGGATTTCATCACTTCCTTAAATTATTGCATAACCATTTTCTGGCACTGTAATTTAAAAAGCAAGACTTTTCTTAAAGCGTATTTATTTTATTTTATTTTTGAAGATTTATTTTCATTCAACAAGAGTTGGGGTACAGGCCAGAGGTGTGGAGGGATGAAGGATTCACCAGAGTCAGTGGGAAACAGAACAGGCAGGTGTACTGAAACACACTGTTGAGGGGAGCAGTGAGTGAGTCAGGAGAGGTCTGCTGCACCATGTGGGTAGCTCCCTGGTCAGGGATCGAACTCCTGCTGTGGATAGCTTTGTAGGTTGTGTCTTACCCCTAGCACCACCAGGGAGGCCCAAAGCATATTATTTTAAAGAATGATATACTTGAATTATTTTCTTAAAGCCTAGCTATCTTAAAACCTGAATATATAAAGGTTCGAGTTTATTTATTTATTTATTTAGAAAGATTTATTTATTTATTTATTTATTTATTTATTATTATATTTATTATACAAGCACTGGGTGCAGTCAGAAGCGCAGGAGGGTGAGAGAATTCACCAGAGCCAGAGTGGGAAGCAGAGCAGGCAGAAGGACCGAAGTACACTGCTGAGGGGAGCAGCGGGTGGCAGGAGAGGTCTGCGTGCCCTGTGGGACCCTCCTCCCGTGGCCGGGGAGACTACTGCAGGCAGCTTCGCAACCAGCACTCAACCGCTGTGCCGCTGGGGAGGCCCTGAGTTTATTTTTTGAAAAGATTTATTTTAATTTATTTATGCATATAGGAACTGGGGTATAGGCCAGAGGTGCAGGCCTTGGGGTGAGAGGAAGGACTCATCAGAGATAAAGTGGGGATAGAACAGGCAGATCTACTGAAAAACACTGCTGAGGGGAGCAACCTGAAAGACAGGAGAGGTCTGCTTCTCCATCTGTGAGTTAGCTCCCTGGCTCAGGATCAAACTCATGTTGCAGTGACTGGCAATAACTTGATAGACTGAGATTTTAACCCTGCACCACCAGGAAGGCCCTCTTTTTGTACAAATTATATACAGTGCAATCTTTCTGCTTATACATACTGTCATATTTGTATTCCAAGATTCCTACTGATATGTCTGTTTCATATTATATATATTTTACATTTGTTGTCAGTTTTACTATTTGAAAATATAACCTTATGTAATGTATTAAATTTTTCTTTTTTAAGGAGAAAATAAAGAGCTATCAACAGACTGAAAAGATGTTTTCAGAGGCGTAGAGTCTTCGAGAGAAGATATTGGCAATTCATGAGATCTCAAGGTTAGCAGTTTTTATTCTTTCACAGATTTTAGTATAAAATTATAGCTTTTTCCAAGTTATTATTGTCAATGTGAAATTAGATTATAAGAAAAAAATATTCTTAAAAACAATATATTTTTAATAAGGTCTTGTCAAGATTTTTAGAAATTTACTTAAACTGAAATTTATTATTTACCTCAGTTGAGAATGGTTAAAAGATATTTTAGTGAAGAACCATTGATTACTAAAGTTTCCTTCACTTTTTTAAAATAGCATTGTTAACATAAAAATAAACATTAGGCATCCCTATAGATTTTTACGTTTGATTTGTTAAGAAATGTACATGTATTTAGCAAATTTTAGCTTCTTGTGTATCTTCAGGTACAGAAACACTTATACTCAGATAGTTTAGGATAGCTCATCAGCAATTCTAAAATTCTTTTAATCCTATTCCCTGCCTTTCCTAAGTACAATCAACAAATTACGTTTTTCTGGGAAAATATGGCCTCAATAAAAGAGTAATTAATATGAATGAGCAAAAGGGTATTGGCTGATCTTTTCTAAGTATTTTATTTTATTATTTTTAAAGATTTATTTATTTATGCATACAAGAGCTGGGGTACAGACCAGAGATGTGGGAGTAGGGGTGTGGTGAGACAGGATTTACCAGAGACAGAATGGGGAACAGAACAGGCAGACTGACTCAAATAACTGCTGACGGGAGCAGCAGGCCAGACAGGAGAGGTCTGCTGCGCCATGTGGGTAGTTCCCTGACTGGCCAGGGATCGAACTCATGCTACAGATGCTGCAATTGCTTCATAGTGTGGTGCTTAACCCCTTGCACCACCAGGGAAGCCCTCTAAGTATTTTAGAGAAAAAAAAAAAAAAAAAAAAAACCTCCCATTACTAAATAGCTCATTATAACAAACTAATGTAAAATATTCATTTGGGTTTTTGAATTACACTGTAGATTAAATTGGTTTGTGCTCATGGAATATCTTGAGAAAGTGAATGATTTTTGGCTTTATATTGTAGGACAGTATGAATATCAAATATTCATACTTTTTAAAGAAAAGTTATTAATGAAGGATCTCTTATTTGATTGGCCTTCTCAGGATCTCTTCAATGTCTGCATCTTTTCCTTCCTCATCCCACAGATTGCTTCTCCATGCAAATGTCTTTGGACTTGCATAAATAAAAGAGTGGGCTAAGTGCTTTGGTTGTTTCAAAATAAATAAGACATGTTTCATGTTCTCAGGAATTGCCGAACCAATATGTTACTCAGAAATTAATTTTATTATTAATGCAAGTGACACATTTAAAAAAACAAGTTAGATTTAAGAGGGCATGTAATGAATTCTAAATTGCAATGGGAGTTGTTTGGTGATTATTTATATTTTCACATTATGGCTTTCATTAACCTGGAATACTGAGAGTTTATACCAGTGGGAGAATTGAGCTACTCACACCTAAATGACCTTTTAGTATAGACTCTAAATACAACACCAGAAAGTACATGAGATTCTAAAAAAGTCTTTTTTTTAACCACAACTGCAAATTTTATACTATAGAAAAGTTATGTAAACACCTATAAAAGAATAAAGGTGAGCATTGCTTATTTGTTTTATTTTTTTTAATTCCAGTGTATTCAGCTGCTTTATTAAGCTCACCAGAGAATTAAATCATTTCCCTAGTGACCTAGAAAAGCATAAAAGGAAATTGATTTGAAAGGGATTGATGTTGTAAATCTCAAAGGGATCCATATGTAAATAGTAGCTGGATGAGTAAAGAGATTTGCCATGGAGTGGGAGTCCAGACTCTGTTTGAAATGGAATTGTATGACACCATGCTTATTACAAAAAAAAAAAAAAAAAAAAAAACTTTA